TGCTCAATAAATGTTAGTGACTACATTGATCACTGTACCCGGGACAGATTTCTCAACCAGCACAAATTTGGTTTTCTTTGGTACCTGATGTACAGTGACGTCCTTGAAAGTTGTGGAGACCTGGCACAAAGAAGGTGTCTAATAGATGCTTGCGGAGTGAACAATGAATAGTGAACAAAGTGGATCTGGTGGGAGCGACAAGATTGCACAACCAGGTTTCATTGACTTAGATGCCCTGATACTATCAAGCCGCACCCTGCCTTCCTGTGGTGGCTGGACCGGATCTTTTTCTAAAATGCCAGGGCACAACAGGACTTGCTGCTTTCCAGCAAACATGCCAAAGGATGTGTTTCCAAATTCCTAGCTCCTTGTCCCCATTCCTAGGTCTCTAGTTTCCTCCCTAGAATGACTGACTGAAGGGTACCATCACCCTATAGTGGGAAACAACCTTCCTCCCTAGGAGTCGGTGGACATGTTTTGTGAAATGTTTCACCCACTTTCCGGGAGTGCCTGATAGCCATAAGGCAATGCCCCTCCCCCTGCAGGCCTGTCCCCACCCCAGCCTGGACAACTACCACGGGGACACTCAACCAGTCAGCCCTGGTCTGCCAGAGGTCCATGAGGCAGGAAGTGGGACCACATCTCATCAGAGCCCGATCCCTGCTCGGCGACCGCCAGCTGCTGCTCCACTGGGACGGGAGAGCCAGCCGCCGCCACACCTCTCAGCACAGAGCACCTCCAGCCTTATTATGCTGGGAGGAGACAGGAGGCAATGGCAGGCAATTTGACAACTCAAATCAAATGACAGCATCTGTTCTGTTGTCACTTCCAAAGCATCAGGTCACCAGAGTCCCTTCCAAAGTGCTGCCCAGTGAATGTCCGAGTACGGAGCCATCACCGGCATTCGCAAGCTCAAAAGGCATCCATCGTGCTTCACTTGCTCCTTCCTCGAGCGAGGAGCCACCCCCGTGAGCTCCGCGGAGCCCCTGACTGCAGACCTCCACGAGAAGGATTTGGAATTTCACGGTAGTGGGAGAACTTGTTTGGGCGAAGCTAGATGACTGAAATTGCTTACTTTCTGCACTGCTTAACTTTGTTACATGAAAGACGCAGCATATTGAAATTTCAGATGTCTGGAGCATTTAAAATCTCTAGCCCTCCTTTCCAAAGCAGGATGCATTGATTTAAAGAAAACACTTCTGCTATTTAGAAGGCCTTGGATTAATATTTGTCAACACATGTGTCTGACCTTTTTTTCTGATCTGGGCGTAGTTTTGAAGCTCCTCGTTAACTAAACAATACCTCAAATAACCCCCTGAGGTTGGAGGCAAAGGCCTGGCTCCTCAGAAGGATGGGAGAGTTCTAGGTTTTTGTTTTGTTTTGTTTAAGATTTTATGTATTTATTTGAGAGAGAGGTATAATGAGAGAGAGAGAACATAAGGGGGGAGGGTCAGAGGGAGAAGCAGGCTCCTGACTAAGCAGGGAGCTTGATGCAGGACTCAATTCCAGGACTCAAAGATCATGACCTGAGCCAAAGGCAGTCACCTAACCAACTCAGCCACCCAGGCACCCAGCTCCAGATTTTAAAGCAGTTTTATAAATGAATGCACTGGGCGATTGCTCAGCTGTCTTATGAATATCGATTGGTAAGAGCACTAAGGAAATCGTTGATCCCAGTTCTAATCTAAAAAAACTTTGTTTTTCATTCTTAGTAACCACTACCCAGGCCAGGTCTCATCATGGAAATGCCCATGTGTATGGTTTTGGGAACTGAGTGTGAGGCTCTGTTCAGCCTTGACTTGCCAAGTGGTTCACAACTACCCATAGTTATTTCTAGGAGGGGTCCCTTCTGTCTGGAGACCAGGGGACCCCTCCTGGCCTCCCACAGAGCCCTGTAGGCCCTTCCTTGTCACCACACCTCACTGGAACTATGGCTGACCACACTTCGCTGGCCTCCCCCTGCCCTGGAAAGGGCCACATCTTCTCCACGATGAAGGTCCCACACCTGGCGCAAGGCCATGAAGACAGAGTGGGCTCGATGAAAGAGTCCTGATGAATAAGTGATGGAGGGAGTGAAGAAAGGAAGGAATGGAGCCAGGAAGGGCAAGCAGCTGCTGAGCCAGGATACATAAGCAGAGGAAGTAAAAGGGTGTTGAGTGGACCCAGAGCAAGAGAAGAGAGCCAGATGCCATGTTGCTCTCCATGGTTCCAGTATGAACAACAATGATGGACACATAGTGGGTGCTCAATCAATCATGCCAGTGAGCACTAACTGGGTGCTTTCTGTCCGCAGACCTTGTGCTAACCTGTTTACATGGATTGTCCCACTCAATCTGCACATGAAACCCTACAAGGAGCTGTCATTAGTTTGGCAAAGTGGATTAAGTCCCAGTGAGAGATGATGCAGACTCCCCTGTCAAGGCAGGAGAGACACAGTCCGATTTCTGTCAGTATCATTGTTCTCCATTCCTCCTAGAAAGGCAGCAGAGATCTTCATGAAGCTCATGGATTCTAGAGCCACACTGCCCGAGTTCAAGTCCCAGCCCAGCCGTTCCGTGGTAGAAGGCTGGGTGACTGAGTTTACTTACTTGCACTCTCTACGCCCGGTTCTCTCACACAAATGGTGCTAGTGCACAGGGACCATTGTGAAGACTAGTGAAGTCATGACATGCATAAGAGCAACATTTAAGTGGTAGCCTTTGAAACATGATTCCATATTGTGCAAACCCACACGCATCTTCCTCCTGTTGCTGTTGGGAGAAGGGGTTGGTGCCAATGCCTGCCACTTCCCCCTCTTTGCAAGTATGATCTTCTCAGTTTTTGTGGGTTAAAAGCAGACAATTTTAGAACGTGGGAGCCAGGTGGGCCTCGTTGACCCCAAGGTAAAAGTCAACATTTAACTGATGATGATAATAAGAAGAGCTAGGGAAAGGGGGGGAAGGAAATTTAGCATTTATTGATCTGTGTTAAATGCAGCTAAAAGATATAATAGTTAATCTGTCCAGATTTCACCAGAGGGTGAGTGACCAAGTCTAGGATAAAATCCAAAGTTCCAGATTCCGATGTGGGGTCAGCTGAGGACACACAGTATGAAACATCTTTATCTGCCTGAAGAGAGGCATCTTCAGATGGTTTAAAAGAACCACTCATGGTCTCTAACAAGATGAAATGCCTAGCAGTGGAGGGCAGTCTTCTGAATTTCTGTGGCTAGAGCATGCCATAGACCTCCACTTTCCCAGGCCTTGCTACCCACTCCCACTACACCAGTGGTGCCATGGGGGCCCCTCTAAAGGTAGAACCTGGGAGTATGGAAGAACCTAGCTCTAACTACCCTGCCTGTCTACCCACCCTCCTGGGCAGTCTCTGGTTTCCCTCTGAGTGGGAACCATAGGACCATTACTAGAGAGCAACCTGGTTCAGGGCTGCCAAAATGGGGGTGGTGATGGGGCCAAGTAGAGGGTGGCAGGAGCAAAACTGACTCCAGCTCTTGCTGTGCCTATATTTGGACCTAGGGCATGTAGGCTGGATAGAAAATAGCTTTTTACCCTCTACTCAGGAGGGGGATACTACCATGCTGATATTTAATCTTTTCAGAAGCTCCTGGCCTGGTAGCCCAGCCAGCCAGCTGTTCCAAGACCTGGTTCATAAGTTACTTCCCCTCCCACCTCTCCTGGCTTCTCGCTCCATGTCCCAGCATCATTCACCTGCTTGGAATTCCATCTTGTAATCCAGGCCCCTTCTTTTCCCTCTAATGTGAATGTCCTTCCTGACCCCTTCCTGGCATTACCTTTATTCATTCTTTCACACTCAAGTTAGGCATAATGTCTTCCACAAAGCTTCTCTGATGTATTCTTCTGAGAGGTCTCCATTTTGTACTCCCATAATTCCACTTGAAAATTTCAACCAGGATTATTTACCATTTTGTTTATAATTTCTCTCTATGGGTCTGGCCCTCATAGGAGTGGGCTTCTTGATGGCAGATACCATGACTTTTGTCTTTGAATCTTCATTCTCTAGCCTAGGACCTGGCACATTGCCATGAGTGCGTTACTTGGAAGACTTTGTTCAAATCATTCTTAATTCACTAAAGAGAAAGTCCGGCCAAAGTACTTCAGCATTTAGACATACACAAAATGACTGGTTACAGAGGGTTAGGAACACAAAGCAAAATTCACAGACCGACACAGCGCTTAGGGATCAAGAAACAAGAGTATAAACTCCATGATGGGTAGGGGGCTGGAGAAGTGGCAGCACAATGACAAAGAGGGAGCTTTGGAGAGGCAAAGGAATGTGGAGCACACCCACTGACTTCTTGTACAGTCTGGAGGACAATGCTTGCTTTATGAAGGAAACCATATCCTCTACCTGCAACAGGATGACTGTAATTCTACACCACAAACCAGAGTGACAGGTGTTTCTGTTTAAGACCAAATATAGAAGCCATAGTTACTCTGTAGGCAGAGAATTTTGCCTAACTCTTAATTTTTAAAGATCAAAACTGACTTTATATCCAACCCAGAAAATCTGTTCCATGTTACACAGAGAGTACCGTAGAAGACTTAGAAATATCTGTGTTCCACCATTGAGCTGAACTTCAGGGGATGCTCTCTGGAGGGCACACTGAGTCTACTCAGGGACACTCCCTGGGTGGAGACACAGAAGCAGTGAACACAATCATACATCAGAAACTTGAGACAACCAAGAGGGGCAGAGTGCCAAAACATTGTATGAGCAGACATCGCTGGCCTTTGAATAATTAACTCCAAGAGTCATACAAACAGAGAGAGGAAATTCAACTTTGATGAAGTCTAGGTTTGCTGCTTTGTTAATTAAACCCCATCTTCCATTGAAAACACACACACAAACACACACACACAGTGGTGTAAGACACATGTATTGTGCTCTATTTCCTCATTTTAACTTCTTGGTTCAAGATACATATACACCTCTAAAGCACTTTTCAAATTCACCAGGAAATGTAATCATCCCATTGGTCTTACCCTGAGGTAGTTGAGGGTGAAATTTGTTAGTCCCATCCTAGTGATGTTTTTGGACAGCTGATCCAGGACCTGAGGATCTTGTGCCTAAACAAGAAAAAACCATATATTTTATCTCTGTAAGATGGTGCCAAGAAAGTCTCAAACTAGGCTAAGTTGCTAAAAAATGCAATCTCAACACTGTCAGTTTGTCTCAGAGGGGAGGTTGCTGGAGATAATTTAATTTACATTTTGAAAACACTTGCATATAATGGCTCAAGGACATTTTTGGATCAATGATGCAAGATCTGTTGCCAGGTAGAACCAAAATGAATCAGGCATGCTTTTAGTCCTTGGGAGAAACAACCTTACTTCCTCTGTGAGAGGCCCCCGTGTCTTCAGAAGGAGGGTCATTAAGCTCTGTCAGGACACTGTCTAGTCTCTGGCACTCAGCAGAGAAGGCAGGGTCCATCTCTGGCTTTCATAGAGCCAGGCTTTAGGACTGGCCTTTGTTTTCAGTTGTGATAGTACTGTGTTTGACAGCTTGGAGTCCAAGACTATATCTGAAAACTTTACCACTTGTATGAAATTTTATATATATATATGCATATATATATATAAA